CTAAACTCGCACTGGGCACGTGTGCATACGTGCCCAAGATCCCGAGAGGAGAATGGAGAAGGGATTGCGGCATGGCCATCGTCCCCAGGGTGTGATTTCTCACTCTCTGTCTCTCTGTCTCTGTCTCACACGCGCCCTGTAGCGAAAACCTCTCAAAAAAAATTACGAATAAGTGTATGATTTTTAATTTAATGCTTATTTTTCAATCACTCAGCTATGTTATGTGTGAGAGCCTGAAACCCCCAGTTGCAATAATGACTGATATGTCCCTTTCCTTTTTTAAAAAAAAATTATTTCTTTCTTTCTTTTTTTTTTTCTGGAGAGGTTTTTGCTATAGGGCGCGTGCACTCTCCAGAAAGACAGAGAGAGACAGACAGAAAGTGAGAAATCACCCCCAAGGGGGATGGCCACGCCGCAATCCCTTCTCCTCCATTCTCCTCTCAGGATCTTGGGCACATACGCACACGTGCCTGGCGTGAGTTTAAGCTACCGGGTCCGGGACATGAACCACAGTCGGCTACATGGGAGTCCAGCGACACAGCCATTAAGCTAACTGCTGGTCCCCCCAAAATTATTTCTTTAATTCCATGTATTGTTATTTTTTAATTTGACCAGAGAGAGAAAGAGAAAGGGAGAAAGCAAATTGCCAGATCCGGGACTCAAACTGCAGTTGGCCATGTGGGAATCCAGTGCCTTTAACCACTGCGCCAGCTGCCGGTCCAAATTCCTGTCCTTTTTGGACTTTACCTGAAAATACTTGGTTTGGTATCAGCAAAAATGGCCTGAATTAGGTCTTGAACACGTCAGCCTGGCCCTACGTCCGAAGTTCTGAGTCACATCTGCCAGTCAGGCCCCACTATAGAGAACACGGGCATGAGAGCGCTCAGGGTACTTACTAGCGAAGGACATGATGCCCCCAAAGCCCTCGGTACTGTTGTTGGAGATGGTGGAGTTGGGGGAGCTTGCTCGAGAGTCGGACTCTGCGTCGGAGTCGCTCGCCAACTTCAAGCTGTTGGGCCGCAGCAGCTTTTGAGCCCTTGAATCATAGCGTACCTGTGAGCCCAGGCAGGGGGGCCTCGCCTTGGCAGTGAGAGCCTCACGCTACACGGCAGCCACCCCTCCCTGCCCACGGTGCCTGAGCCCCCAGGTCAGAGCACCACGCTCTGGGGATGGCAGGACCAGGAGAGCACTCGGCCTTCTCAGACTTCCTGATTAACCCCCGCCTGGGGCACACTGGCGTGACATCCTTCAGTCACCCATCCAGAAGGGATCCCCGGACTCTCACCGATTGCCACTGACAAGCTGGCTGAATCGGGGAGTGTAGCTTTCCCCCTGTTCATCATCGTCTTCCTCGGGGGGAAGGCCATACTGGGGCTCGGAGTATGGGTTCTCATAGGTTCGCCGGTGCACTGACCCCTCTCCAATTTCTGTCTGACGCCTGTCCACGTTCGATTTGCCGACGCCGGGAGGCCCAGTGGGGAGGGCCTTGGAGACACCCGCCGCTGTATCCTCCATCTCTGCAGAGTGAGCGGGTTCCTAGGGACCGTGTTGGACAGAAAGTGGTGACCTGGTGCCCAGTGACCTCTTCCCTGACAGGGCCAGTCCCAGGCCTGTGAGGTTCCTAGACTAGAGTGTGTGGGAAAAGGTCTCTGTGGTCTCCATGAATTATGCTTAGGGGGATCTTAGCTCAAACTAAGCCCAATGACCTTCAGAGCTTAAAACTGCATCTCATTAGGCTCTAGGGCCCATGGAGCGATGAGACTGTGAGGAAGCAAATCGATAGCTGTATCAGGCTTTCCTCACAGGGATGAGGCTCAGACCCGAAGCCATAGTGTTCACTGTCCACCCCCCAGTGCTCACGTACAGAGGCGGCTCCGTGGACGACGGTGCTGGGGCTACTGCTGGCCGTGGTGCTGGAGCTAGAGCGTGGCGGGGGGTTTTCCTGAGAGTTCTCGCTGTCCGGGCCAGGCCCCTCCTCTTCCCTCCGGTTCTGCAGCTCGTCGATCTCCACCTCGCTGGCATCTCCCAGGGCCGCGTGTGTCAGAGGGTCCACATCTGCCGGACCCCGAGGGAAACAGGGATGGACTGCCCTGTGCCTGGGCCCCAGCCTCTGCCCACAGCTGGCCCGCCTCCCCGCGCACTTACTGGGAGTGTCACCATTGATGTCACATTTCATCATTTCACTGACAAAGTCACCGAGGGATGAATAAGACGAGCTCGAGTCGTCATAGTCCATACTGTCACTGCCACTGCACAGGGAAGAGAAATGAACAGGAAAAGAATCTGATCAGCCCTAGGAGGGGTCCAAAGGGGAACCCTGAACTCAAGGCCACAGAGCAAGTCCAAATACAGAAGCAGGGAAAACCACCACCCGGAATATATTCCAAGGCGTCAAACACTGGCACCAAAATCCTATGAGTTTTGCCTTCCATGTGCTCAAGGGCAAGGGAGAGACTCCTCGCCTTGAAATTGGTTTCATGGGACCAGCAGCTGGCGTGGTGGTTAAGGCGCTGGACATTCCCACATCGCCAACTGTGGATCGAGTCTTGGACTTGGTGACTTGCTTTGTCACTTTCTCTCTTTCTCCCTCTCTCCGTGTATCTTTCTCTGGTCAAATTTAAACAAATGAATGAATGGGGACCAGCAGTTGGCGTAATGGCTATGTCGCTGGACTCCCATGAAGTTGACCACAGTCTGAATCCCAGACCCAGTGGCTTAAACTCATGCCGGGTGTGTCTGTGTGTGTGCCCAAGATCCCAAAGGGAGAACAGAGAAGGGATTATGGCGTGGCCATCCTCCCTGGGGGATGATTTCTCACTTTCTGTGTCTCTATCATTCTGATGGGTGCATGCACCCTATAGTAGAAACCTCTCCAAAAAACCCACAATGAATAAATAAATAATTTTTTTTAAAAATAAAAGAAATCGGTTTCGCGGCCGTGAGGGACTGCGCACCTGTCATCGGTAGGCTCAGAGTCCGAGTCCCGCTCCAATGGCATGCGCAGCGCCTCGGCCAGCTGGGAGTTGCTGTCGTAGACTCGGTAGTGGATGGGCTGCAGCTGGTGAGCATACCACTTGGGCTTGTCACCAATCAGGGCTGGGTCAAACATATCTACGGATGAGGAAAAGGACAGGGTTAGCAGCAAGGGAGAAAAGGCACAAGACGCATGAAAGAAAGGTAGGAAAAGGCCCTAACAAAACAGAATGGCGGGAGCAGGACAAAGGTTAGCAAACGCAAGAGCACAGGCAGTCAGGACGAAGGCCGGGGTGGGCAGAGCGAGGGCGGGTGCACTCACTGTTGTGAATCCGCTGGAAGGCATAGTTGCTGGGGTTAAGGATCCACTCTCCAAAGTACTCCACAGCCTGAGTCCTGGCCAATTTTTCAGCAAAAGGAGTCTGCCGGGGACGAGAGGCTAGAAAGGAGCCAGCTTGAAACGCCACCACAGGCCGAGGGAAGAGACGCAGGGTACGTGTGTGCATCTGAAAGCCCTGCAGCACGTTGGCGGAGTTGAAGAAACGGACCATGGCCACTCTGAGGAGAAGTGGGTGGTGAGATAATCCTAGACGGGACCCTGTCCCAGGATCCAGGGCCTCAGACCACCTCCCAAAGCTGCTGGTAAGCAGTCTTCCAACATCAAGGGGAGATTATCTTTTTTTTTTTTTTTTTTAAGTTTATTTATTGCTTCCATGAGCAAGACAGAGACAGTGAGACAGTACCCCCCAGTACGGTCTTGACACCGTGACCCATCCCCAGCTTCAGCCAGTCCTGGATCATGAGCACGCGCATGCCCAGCATCCTCGGGAAGGTCTCCAGAGGCTGGCCTGCAGCCCTTCCCTTGGGCCAGCCTTGCAGAATGTTGTGTTTTACCGCTGCACTTAAAGTAAGCCCTAGGTCTGGCCCCCAAGGGGAGAGGTATCTTAAAGAATCATCAGTCCCCCTTTTCATCCTGAGACTGATGAAGTCGTTTTGATTTTACTTTGATTTTACTAAAGTGGAAAATACAACCAAACAGCACACACGCCTTATACAGAAACTGGCTCAGGGAAGCAGTCTGTCCCAACGTCAGTGAGAGAGCAGAGACCAGTTTAAGGACTCGTGATTGTACAGTCCACGTGACCTACCTGGTGGCAACATCCACAGAATCCACGTCGTTGCCATAGATGAGGGGGTTGAATTCAGTGGAAGGTGTAGACTGCAGGTCACTAGAAGGCCTTCCCAAGAGCAGTGGGATCTCCTGGCCCTCGTGAAATTTTTCAAGGTTGAGGATGGGCTGGGTGTTGAGACTCATGCTGGCTAAGGCCTATGGAACGAGAAATTCCTCACAGTAAGCAGATTCCAGGACAGAGAGCCAATCGCAATTCCTAGGAGAGAGATTTCTTAAAGCTTTCTACCACACTCTAATCAAAAAGTTCTGCAATGGGGACCAGCAGGTGGGGTGCTGGTTGGGGCGCTGGACACTCCCACATGGCCGACCAGGGTTCAAGTCCTGAATCTGGTGGCTTACTTTCTCACTTCCTCTCTTTCTCACTGTCACCCTCTGTCTCTCTCTGGTCAAACTAAAAAATAAGTGAATGAATAAATAAAATAAAATAAACAATTATTAAAAAAAAATAAAGTTCTGCAATGATAAATCATGCTCATTTGCAAATCATGGCCAATCCATTTCAAGGCCTTCTTCTTTGAAATAGGAATCTAGACAGTTTACCTTTAGAAAACAGTCTGAATGATCCAGCTTTCTATCTTAAGCCAGCCTAGCTCAAGGGCACTTGATCAAATCTGAAGTCCAGGACAATAGTTTTTGTTTTTGTTTTTATTTTTTAAGAGGTTTTTGCTATAGGACGCATGCGCTCACCAGACAGACAGAGAGAGACAGAGAGACAGAAAGCAGGAAATCACCCCCCAGGGGGGATGGCCACGCCGCAATCCCTTCTCCTCCATTCTCCTCTTGGGATCTTGGGCACGCACACACACACGCCCAGTGTGAGTTTAAGCCACCGGGTCCGGGACTCGAACCGCAGTTGACTATGTGGGAGTCCAGTGACATAGCCATTATGCTAACTGCTGGTCCCAGGACAATAGTTTTTAAATTGATTTTAGCCATGAAATATTTTTCAAAATTGAAATTTATGTAAAAACTATGTGGAATAAACATGAAATGTACACACAGGGGTTCTCTGAAGGACATAAGGAACCAGAGCCTCCTAGGCTCAGTGTTCCCTGCCTAAATTAGCCCCTAAGAAGCTCTAGGGGCAGTCTGAAAACCACTGGTCCAGACCCTCATCACTTGTTACCAAGCACAGCAGTGCAGAATCTTGCGGCCAACAGGAGGCATGGTGGTTAAGGCTGCAGGACTCTCACATGGCTGGCCACAGCTCGAGTCCCAGACCTGGTAGCCTGAAAATCATGCTGGGCACATGTACATGCACGCCCAAAATCCCAGGTGGAAAATGGAGAAGGGGCTGCAGCATGGCATTCCCCTAGGAGAGTGATTTCTCATTTTCCCTCTCACTGTCTTCTCTGTCTCTCTCTTCTCCAGCAAGTACACATGCCCTATGGCAAAAATCTTTAAAAAAAAAAAAAATGCAGATCCTGATTCAGTATGTCTGCAGTGATTCTACACGTTTTGTTTTTAAGATTTATTTACTGGGGAGGCCAGCAGGTGGCATGGTGGTTAAGGCGCTGGATACTCCCACATGGCCGACCACAGTTTGAGTCCTGGACCTGGTGGCTTGCTTTCTCACTTTCTCTTTCTCTCTCATTCTGCCCCTCTCTGGTCAAATTTAAATAAATGAATGAATAAAATTAAATAAAATAATTATTTTTAAAAAGGAATTATTTATTATTATTATTGTTATTATTATTATTATTTTCATTTGACCACAGAGAGAAAGGGAAATTAAGAAAGCAAGCCCTAGGTCCAGCACTCAAACCACAGTCGGTCAAGTGGATGTCCAGTGCCTTAACCACCATGCCACCTGCCGGCCCCAGTTGTGCACTTTTAACAAGCTCGAGTGATGCTAATGCTGCTGGCTCGTGGACCATACTCTGAACATAGGGCCAGAAGACAGGATCAATAAACCCAAGGATCTTAGCACATACAAAAGTGTAAAGTATAATTCCATACATATATCAGTCTCTCCATCTCATCGGTCATACTCAGGCGATAATCAAGATTGAACCATAGCAAGTAAGACAGCTACGGAACATTTTGAACTTGCAACCCTCACCAAAGTCTGCAGGGGCAAGCGATTATGTTCCATCAGGGATGAAGCAAATGAGAGGGAGAGGGAGGATACAACACTACCCATTCGCTCCAAACAGCTATCAGCTAGGGGTACGACAGTGCTGCGGAAAACACACAAAACGATTTCTAAAGACCCTTCAAACAGAGAGCAGAGATTCCGGAAAAGAAACACAGCGCTATCTACTGGTGGTCCCACGTAGTACACAGAGCAGAAGGGAACAGAGCCCGCCGTGGTTTACCTTCAGGTACTGTGCTCAGCATGCAGAAGAAGAAAACACATCAATGGAAAATGGATGTAAGAAATTACTCAATGGACTCTTTGAAAAATAAAGGCTCTATAGGGACCTTGGGGTCAATTCAAGAGGACATGAGGAGCCAGATGTCCACACCACTCATGCCCACCTCACACGACTGAGAGCACGTGCCAAAGTCGTAAAGAACGGCAGACAGGACAAAAAACAGAAAGCAAAGGGCTCTTTTACACAGTGTCATTGGCGTTACAGAGTAATGGGCATACGATGAATCAGAAGGAATCTAAAAGGCTCTTTCTGAGATTCACTTTGACATCTAGAAATGGCACAGACCTCTTAAGCCCATCTGAAGGCAGAGAGTCGACTCTGCCGGAAGAGTGAAAGGAAACTGGCTTTTAGAACAGCTGTCTTCCCACAGCAATCCTACGGCATATGCCACTTCCCTTTTTCCGTAATTTCTCACGTACCTGCTTTAAATGTTTCCTCAGCTCTAATGATTCTGGTTCTGGCAGGATAGGCAGCACTTCTGCATTGGTGGGTGCAATCACCTGTACCGGGGAGAACATAAGACACAGAGCCTTAGAATCAGGAGCTCAGGGGGCCAGTAGGAGGCATAGTGGTTAAGGTGTCGGACTCCCATATGGCCAACAGTGGTTTGAGTCTCAGACCTGACCCAGTGGCTTGATTTCTCGCTTTCTCTCTCTCTCTGTCTCTGTCTCTCTCTGGTGAGCTCACATGCCCTACACAAATTTTAAAAAATAATAATAATGATAAATAAAATTTAATAAATAATTGTATTAAAAAATCAGGAGCTCAGAAGCTTCACTTACATAAGGGTTAATAACAAGAATGGGAAGACAATATTATCATACATATGTGAACACATACATTATATACCTGCACATAGGAGGGGACTCAAAAAGGTCCTATATTCTAAACGAATGATTTAATTTAGGGGACCAGCGGATGGCCTAATGGCCTAATGGCTACGTGACTGAACTCCCATGTAATCAACCGCGGTTTGAGTCCTGGACCTGGTGGCTTAAATTCACACTAGGTGCACGTGCATGATACCGAGAGGAGAATGGAACAGAAGGGATTGTGGTGCAGCCATCCCCCCAGGGGGTGATTCCTCGCTTTCTGTCTCTCTCTGTCTTCCTGGAGAGCGCACGTGCCCTAAATCAAAAACCTCTCCAAATTAAAAAAAAAAAAAAAAAGAATTATTTTCTTGGGAACCAGCAGTTAGCATAATGGCTATGTTGCTGGACTCCCACGTAGTCGACCGCGGTTCATGTCTCAGACCTGGTGGCTTAAAACTCACGCTGGGCGCGTGTGCATGCGTGCCCAAGATCCCGAGAGGAGAATGGAGGAGAAGGGATTGCAGCGTGGCCATCCCCCCTGGGGGTGATTTCTCGCTTTCTGTCTCTCTGTCTCTGTCTGGTGAGCGCACGCGCCCTATAGTGAAAACATCTCCAAAAAAAAAAGAATTATTTTCTTTAACTTTATTTATTTATTTGTTTTTGGAGAGGTTTTTTTTTTTCCTTGCTGTAGGGTGCATGCACTTGCCAGAGAGGCAGAGAGACAGAAAGTGAGAAGTCACTCCCCAGGAGAGATGGCCATGCTGCAATCCCTTTTCCTCTATTCTCCTCTCAGGATCTTGGGCACACATGCACACAGGCCGGGCGGAGATTAAGCACCGGGTTTGGGACTTGAACCACAGTCGACTACATGAGAGTCCAGAGACGTAGCTATTACACCATCTGCTGATCCCTATATTTATTTCTTTTATTTGACCAAAGAGGGACAGAACGAGAGAAAGAGAGAGAGAGAGAGAAAGTTGTCAGGTCCAGCACTCAAGCCACAGTTGGCCATGTGGGAGTCCAGCGCTCTTAACCACCACACCACCTGCCAGCCCCAATAAAATAATTCTTTTTAAAACATCTCTGCACTGAGAGATCATTTCTGGCTGGAAACTGAACCCCAGGAAAGCCATTAGGAGGTGATCTATACCAGGTATAATGCTCCCACAACCATGGCTGACCTACTGCTCTTGGAGAATGAGGGCAAAGTACTAAACTCTGGCAAAATTAAATCCTGTAATTCTTTGTGTCCTAACCATGAGCCCACTTGGCCAATAAAGTAAAAGTAGCATTTAAAAAAATTGTTTCAGTGAATCTCACAATAGAAATAATTTGCCAACTTAGAACTTTCTACCAATTAGAAAAACAAATGTCACAGGATTGGGTCATTTCTAGACCCTGCAATGTCTTAGACAAGAACTTCACCCTGCAAAACCAGCAAATGGCATAATGGTTATGTTGCTGGACTCCCACATGGCCAACTGCAGTTCGAGTCCCAGACCTGGTGGCATAGAACGCATGCCAGGCACATGTCTCCTAAGAGGAGACTGGAGGAGAAGGAATTGTAGCATGGCCCCCTACTGGGAGGTGATTTCTCATTTTCCGTCTCTCTCTGGCTCTCTGGTGAGCACACGTGCCTTAAAGCAAAAAAGAAAAAAAGAAAAGAAAAAGAAAAGAACCTCACCCTATTGCTATCCAGATCCACCAGCCATACATCGTCAGGCATTTTGAAGTCCAGTTTGTAGAGGAAGAAGCTGGCAGGGACCCCAATGATGTATGGGGTGGGAGCCAACAGCAGCTGTGGAAGAGACAAAGAGGATAAGAAACAGCGATGAAATATCGTGAGCACTTATCACGTCAGCATTTTCCAAGAGAAGGAAAAGATCCACACTTGCTTTTTTACTTTTGGAGAGGTTTTTGCTATAGGGCGCGTGCGCTCTCCAGAAAGACAGAGAAAGACAGAGAGACAGAAAGAGAGAAATCGCCCCCTCAAGGGGAATGGCCACGCTGCAGTCATTTCTCCTACATTCTCCTCTCAGGATCTTGGGCACACACACACGCGTGCCCAACATGAGTTTAAGCCACCGGGTCCGGGACTCAAACCGTGGTCGACTACATGGGAATCCAGTGACATAGCCATTACGCTAACTGCTGGTACTATACACTTGCTTTTTAAAACCCTAGAGTCCACATGTATTTCAAAATTGAGAACTTTCCGGATTTTAGAAAGGTATCACACTGTTTTCTGTATACCGCATCACACCTGCAGCAGTGTAGCCAGCAGTCTGTCATCATTAACTGTGATAAGCAAAAACAATATATTGGTTTTGCCACCAAAGCAGTTCAAATCAGTCAGATTTTGCAGACAAGGTAAATCAGAGGGGCCACAAGACCAGTACTGATGTGCAACTCCTCTGGGTACTGAGCTGCCTCCCTCAGGGGGACAAAGCTGGAGGGAGCCTTGAGACTCACCTGCTCTGCGGACGCCATGCACGTGGGGAGCAGTGGAATGACAGGAAACATATACTCCAGGGGGTAGATCATGGCCACGAACGCCATCACGGACATGGACAGTGCGTTGTAGTCTCGGGACTGTAGCACCACCTGCAGTCAGACGCTCCGTGAGGCTCCCTCTGCAGCACGTGGCCAGCCTGAGAGGAAAACAGCCTCCACGGACAGGCCGATCTCTGTCCCACCACGCCCACAGCTCCCGTTTGGTTTCCGCAGTCTCCGCTGCCCAGTGCCCCCTGACGCCGACCACCTCCCAACTCAAGCACTGCAGAAATCTCCCCTGAACCACTCCCTTGCCCTCCTAGTTCTTGGACTCCCATCCCAGGACCACTCGTTGCCACGGAACTACTGACATTTCCAGGTCAGTGTAACTAATCATTCAACTGAGTGGCAAACCTCTGACCGCATCCCACGGGGTCCCCGGACATTAGTTCAACCCATGTCTATTAAGTATCTGCCGTATGTGGAATCGTGTTACCTCCTGGACGCAAAAAGATGAAAAAGACCTATTTCCTGTGCTCGAAGAGCTGGGGGTCTAGCCTCTGCCATATTCCAAAGCTCTTTTTTTTTGTGTAAAGATGGCCTCTCACCTTATGCTCTAAGAGGATGCAGGTCAGCACCTGAAGACAGGCATCCACTCCCAGAAGTTCCAAAGGAAGGTGCAGTGGGAAATCCACTAGAGTAAATCGAGAGGGGTCTGGGAGAGCAAAGGTCAGCGCTGGCTGGAGCTCCTGGGGCAGGACCTCAATGTCTACTCGCTTCTGCCCCGAGACAGGTACTGGGGAACGCAGCAATCGATAGATCCAGGCCTCGATCTCCCGGAGGTCTTGCAGGAGGGCGCTGGACTTCTCCTCCACCAGATAGACTGTATAGTAGGCAAGGCATGTATTCATCACTCCCTTCCACAAAACAAAAGAGTTGTCTAAGGACATACAACATTTAGTATTAGATCTGAGACTAGAATCCTCAACACTTGTTCCTGACACCACTGTGTCTTGGACATATTTTGAAGCACTAACAAAAAATCATGGGCTGGGAACCAGCAGTTAGTGTATGTCGCTGGACTCCCATGTAGTCGACCACGGTTCACGTCCTGGACCCGGTGGCTTAAAACTCATTCCGGGTGCGTGTGTGCCCAAGACCCCGAGAGGAGAATGGAGGAGAAGGGACTGCGGCATGACCATCCCCCCTGAGGGGTGATTTCTCGCTTTCTGTCTCTATGTCTCTCTCTGTCTGTCTGCGAGCACACGTGCATGCGCCCTATAGCGAAAACGTCTCAAAAAAAAAAAAAAAAAAACTAAGAAAATGGCCAACTTAATCATAGGGACACGTCTGGAGTTGAATATTATATCCCAGAATTGAATTGGGAAGATCGAACCACAACAGAAGGTAGATTAAGGACATGAGACTGAACTGGTGAAATAGCATTTTATGACTTTTGACTGAAACATTGCTGCTTTTCTTCTAGGCTTTGTTTTCCAGTTTTAAGGATTTTTGTCCTGTCTTAAGCCGTTGTTAGGTTCATGTACCTATTATTTGAACAGAATCCTAATCTGTTTCCTGGCTTTAAGTTTTAAGCAAACTTCCTTAGCATTTCTTTGATTTCTTAAAGTTAAAACTGCTTTTTTGGGGAAAAAAAAAAAAAAGAGTATCCATAGGAGGACTTCCTGCCCTGCACGCCACAACACATCAAATTCCTCGGCATTTTCCAAACACCGTTGTGGTAGGAGGTCCAGCATCACAACAGGTATTTACTTAGTAAAGACTAACTGCTTAAGTAGAGGGGCCAGCGGGTGATGTGGTCGTTAAGGTACTGGACTCCCACGTAGTTGACCACGGTTCAAGTTCCGGACCTGGCAGCTTACTTTCTCACTTTTTCTCTCTCTCTGGTCAAATTAAAAAATAAATAATAATAACAAATAAAATTAAATAAAGAAATGATTTTTTAAAAAATAATAATGCTTAAATAGAACTGAAGGACTGGGACCAGCAGGTGGCATGGTAGTTAATATGCTGGACACTCCCACATGGCTGACCACGGTTCAAGTTCCGGACCTGGCAGCTTACTTTCTCACTTTTTCTCTCTCTCTGGTCAAATTAAAATAAATGAATGAATAAATAAAATGAAATAAATAATTACATTGGAAACATTAAGAACCGAAGGGCCTCAGGTCATAGAGGAAATTTCCTCTTCCCCACATCTCTAAATGCTTCCCAATCTTCGGAGCATCGGCGGCAAACCGTACCTTTGTACACCTCGAGGGATGCCCGGCTTCTTGCCCAGCAGCCGCTCACTACAGCAGTCCACCAGGCGTTTGAGGGTATACAGACACTCCCGGAAGGTGGAGAAGAAAGGGTAGTGGCTGAGCACGCACAGGGATGTCAGCGTGCTGTTGCGGGAACGGCTCCCGCCCTTGGCCCGGCGCTTGCCCCGAGGTGACTGGTTCACTTCGGGGGTGGAGTCTGCACTGGGAGGCTGCAGGGACGAGCCACTCTCTGAGCTTTCAGTGCCCACCTCCTCGGAGGCACAGGGGGCACGAGTTCCTTCCTTCCCGCGGGACCCTGCCCCACCTTCCCCCTTGTCCTTGGGCATTCGCTTTTGGAAGGAGCGGTAGAAGTTGACGCAGATCCCATAACGTGTGACTCCAGTGTCCTTGTCAGTGAGGGTGAAGACAAAGGACGTGTCATCCCGGAGGCTCATGCGCCGCTGCCGCATGCTCAGACAGCCCTCGGGCTGGCAGAAGAACACCACGTCCGGGGGCAGGGGAAACTCAGCGTGATCTTCCAGTGGGTATCGTCGGAGCAGTTCAGGAGTCTGGGCCACACTGTCACTGCTCGGGTGCCTGAGGGTAGAAAAACAAACTCAGCGGCCTGAAAGGACAGAACACTCTTATCAAATTTTAACCACGGCCAACAACTAAAGCTCAAAATGCTATTTTGGATGAAGTAACCTAACTAGGACCTTGGGAAATATGGGTGCTACTTGCCCCTTTTAGCTGATAGGCTAATAAAGTCTGAAATGAAATGAAAGGAAAATGTCAACCATAAAATCATCGCTAACACCTTAAGACAATTAGCACCTTTCAAGGTGAATCAGCTAATTAATTATCAAAAGAGCATATTGGGAACCAGCAGTTAGCGTAATGGCTATGTTGCTGGACTCCCACGTAGTCAACTGCGGTTCGCGTCCCAGACCCGGTGGCTTAAAACTCACGCTGGGCACATGTGCGTGCGTGCCCAAGATCCCAAGAGGAGAATGGAGGAGAAGGGATTGCGGCGTGACCATCCCCCCTGGGGGGTGATTTCTCACTTTCTGTCTCTGTCTGGCGAGCGCACGTGCCCTATAGCAAAAACCTCTCAAAAAAAAAAAAAAAAAAAAAAGAGCGTATGCAGGTAGAGAAGGAACACAAGGAACACAAGGTAGTGTTTTGTTTTACAAAATAAGAAAATTGGGGCCGGCAGGTGGCGTGATGGTTAGGATGCTACATCTCACATGGCCAAGCGTGTGGTTTGAGTTCTGGACCCGGTGGCTTGAAAAACACACTGGGTACATGTGCATATGTGCCCAAATCTCAAGAGAAGAAGGGAGGAGAAGGGATTATGGCACGGAAACTCCCTCAGGGGGATGATTTCTCATTTTCCCTTTTTCTCTGTCTCTCTCTGGTGAATGTGTGTACCCTATGGAAAAATCTAAAAAATAGGGACCAGCAGATGGCATAATGGTTACGTGGCTGAACTCCCCACATATTTGATCACAGTACAAGTCCTGGACCCGGTGGCTTAAAATTCACGCCAGGGGACCAGCAGTTGATGTAATGGCTATGTCACTGGATTCCCATGTAGTCGACCGTAGTTTGAGTCCCGGACCAGGTGGTTTAAACTCACGCCAGGCGCGTGTGCGTGCGTGCCCAAGATCCTGAGAGGAGAATGGAAGAGAAGGGATTGCAGAGTGGCCATCCCCCGTGGGGGGTGATTTCTAGCTGTCTATCTCTGTCTGTCCCTCTGGCAAGCGCATACACCCTATAGCAAAAATCTCTCTAAAAAAAAAAAAAAAATCTAGGGACCAGCAATTGGTGTAATGGCTATGTTGCTGGACTCCCATGTAGTTGACTATGGCTCAAGTCCTGGACCGGTGCCTTAAACTCATGCCAGGCGCGTGTGTGCGCCTGCCCAAGATCCCGAGAGGAGAATGGAGGAGAAGGGAATGTGGTGTGGCCATCCCCACTGGGGGGTGATTTCTCACTTTCTGTCTGTCTCTCTCTTTCTGGCGGATGCACATGCCCTATAGCAAAAACCTCTCCCCTCCCCCCCAAAAAAAATCTAAATAAATAAATAAATAAATAAATAAATAAATCGGAATATACAAAATATATTTGCTTATGATCACCAAGATGCTTGCTAAAACCAACAGTCTCAAGCCACCTGACTAGTTTGCCCTGCTGGGACAACAATGCTCCCCTCAGAGTGAAATAATACCCGCGAAGGGTTCCACAAAGTAACATGGGAGGGATGGGATATAAGTGCAGATTTTGCGAATACCTCGGATGACAAGACACAAATCAGTCTCTTTTTAGTTACCTGGCCCCTACGATCACCAGGTAGTCAAGTAACCGAGGACAGAGCTTCTTCTTTTGCACCATGGTTCCAACTCATTGGTTCATCTCAGAGAAACTTCAGAGCATCGAGCAAAGACTCG